ATTTCCACAACTTGAAATTCTTCATGGCGGGTGCACCGAGTGGGGCTGAAGGATTGCTGGAAATCCTTCAGCCAATGGGCGGGGGGGGGCGGGGGCTGAAGGATCTCCAAACCGAGGCAAAGGCGTGAATGGGCATAGGTCGTGGGGGGAATTCTGGCTCAGGTTCTGGTTTGACGTCTTGGGTTTCGGCAGGCCTGGCACATGACCGGACGCGCGTAACAATCAAATGACTGCTTCAGAGTCCTTCAGACACAAAGCTGACACCCAACTTTGAGGACTCTGGGCACAAACCTCCAGAGTCCAATACAAGGGGAAGGGAAGCCTCTCATACTTTCACGCACAGCCATACAGCTCCGTGAAACTCCTAGCTGCTGTCTCCAACCCTCCCCCCGACCATCGCAGGGCGAGAGCCATGGTCTTTGTAGCATCGGCCGTTGACTGAGCAGCTGCTCTCACCTTGAGCTACTTAGGCTTTACAAGGCTTGTCCAGGGATGATGGCGACAGGAGCAGCGCCTTATGGTATATCCTTTTCTGGACAGGCTTCTTCTGAGAGCCCGAGGCCTGGTGTTGATAGGTTCTGGGTGCTTGTGGGTTGAGGTGGCTTTAGATGTTCGGGACGGATGGACCTCGAAACCCCTGCAAGAAGCCCTAAACCTGAAAGATCGAGGTAAGGTCAAGGCTTAGACGAGCCCCAAATCCTCAGCCTGGGCACCTCCTGGAGGTCTTTGCCATCCTCTGCAAGGCTGCCCGCCACCTCACCGGGCTCTGACTCTGACGAGCTCAAAGGAGGGGCTTTATGGCCTCCTTGGGACCAACGCAGTCTCAGTTTGGGTCTCAGGCGGCTTCGACCCTCGCCCATGCAAAAGAAACTCTTCACTGAAAAACGGAAAGGCCTTGATGACCACCGCTGCGCCCGCGAGGCATCGCGAGGCCTGGATGTCGGGTCTGGACTGCCGCTGCCAACTTCTCAACCATTTTCAGATGCCACAGACCACAAAGAACAACCAGTGTAGCGCCCGACATCCCTCATGCTGTGCCTCCGATTCGCCCTGCTGAGAGCCGACGTCATCCGACCTGACCAGGCACACTATGTTTCAGCAGCCTGGGAGATGATCGAGATCTTTTGAATCCAAGTACCGACATTTCGGACTGCTGGAGGCTGCAAGGACTTCGGGTTGCCCGTGAGTCTTTTGAAGCTCAGAGACTCACAAAACCATGAAATGCTTCCCCGCAGCCTGCGGAAACTCAGAGCCCTGACTGGAGACATGCAGGACTCTACGTGAGCTCGACATGAACATGAGGCCTCGCCTCCAAGCCTTGAACTCTTCTTGAAGAAGGCGTCTTGCAGAAGACTTGCTTGGTCTGAGGGGTTGGCTAAGACTAATTCAGCACGGCTGCACGATCACCAACTCCACAGTCACGCCTGTGCTCAAGTGCTCAACATACCAGACAAACACCCCTTAAAGATTCGTGACGAGTGAATGGGAAGGGGACTTTGGAGTGCAAATACTCGCACACTACGAAGGATTCGTGTTGGAATCCGTTCTTGAACCGGCAATGCCTGGATGCACATGGGGTTTCGGAGGCGGCCTTAAGCCGGGCATCGGGAGTCGAGGACTTCGGCTTTCTGGGTCTATGGGCACCGTTTGGTGGCGCCTTTTGACACGACCGAGGGAGTCGTGGCGCGCCTTTGCTCCTCGCGCGCTCTGCAGCCACCGCGTGGTTGAAGCGAAGGCCCGGATAGTTCTTCACGACGAGGATGCAGCCTCCGGAAGAACCGCAAGGGAAGCTGAAAGCCAAAGTGCTCTCGGGCTGCTGGCAAGCAAGCTGGAATCTTGGGAACTCCTGAAACAAGCCCAGCGTTGCCTGCCGGGCCAGCCGCGGCCATGATGGCACGGAAGATGGCGCCAGGCGAGGGGGCAGCAAAGAGTGCCCCAGTAACCTGGAAGGATCAACTTAACGGTTTTCTTTCAAAGACTGGAGAGCTCTGGACACTTCCGGGCCCACAAACTCAATCTGGAGCTCCAGGCTGGCGTTCGGACCAGTGAAGCCCTCCACCCCGCTGCAACTCTGAGCTCCAAGCCCTCCCAGTCCCATTGCGGAAATCCTCACAATGAAAACCTGGGAATTCCTGAACGACTGTCCTTCACTGTTCTAATCCCAACTGCTTCTTTCTCGGTGACGAAAGTTGAGCGACTCGTTGCAAGTCTCCTAATCACAGAATTCCGGGCCGATGTGTTTTTTCGGAGAGGGCACCGAACAGCCACACTGACTGTGGCAGAAGAACGCTGTCTCGAACATGAACACCAACCCTAAACCTCAATACCCGAAAACCGCGGCACCCTGAGAATGCCCTCAGACCCTAAAGCCCCCCTGAAGTTCGACAAACCAATCCGAGGAGCTGAGGCCGTGAGGAGACCTCGGCCAACGAAACCGGCCATCAGTGGCTCGTGACCAGCGCCACCTGTTTCTGTTGAGGAGATTTGTGTGTGGCTTGTCTACGAGTTTTGGAGCTTCCGGTCGGAAGTTATCAGACTTCGGATGGAGGTTTGGGCATCCGCCCCAGTGAGCCTTGGCCAGTTTGGGAAAGACCACAGTTCAGCCTCCATACTCACCTTTACCTCGGCCTTGGGGGTCCACCTATGGTCTCCATTGTAGTTCCTTTTTTTGGTTTAGCCAATTCTATACTAAGGATCCTAAAAGGTAACCCCAAGAAGGAACTACAATGGAGACTATAGGTAGTGCTTGGCCACGTTTGGCTCGTGTGCAAAGAAGCAACCCTTCTCCTTCGGCTGGCCTCCACAGATCAGGGCCACATGGCCGCTGGCCGCGAACTCCTGCTTGTTTCAGATCAACAACATGGAGTTCAGGATGACAGCCAGAGCTGTAGAAAAAACCCTCGCCGAGAGGAAGTAATTGGCGACTTGTGTGAGTCTGCCTTTCAAGGGCGACACGCTCCGAAATACTTACATCGCAACATCTGTGCCTGTCTTTGCCATGTGAACATGCGCAGAGACAGACGAGGCAAGTTGAAACGAAACGCGCCGAGGGTACAGAGGTAGATGCCAAGCTAACCAACCGGTGGCTCCTGGTAGTCGCGTCGCAGATGGACCTGGAGGAGACTGGCCGTTTCGTGAGCCGTATGCCATGTTCACCATAGTCTGCTGAGGCGTCTTAGGCATTAAGCTTGAGATCCTGAACACATCGGGAGGCTCGGGCTCTCACTATGTCGCTGCTGCGGAGGAATGCGCATGCCAGATGCGTGGCATTGGCTTTGGCTTCATGCTTCAGGCTACTTTCCGGCTGGTTTCTCCCACGTTTACCAGCCCCTGCTTTCCACCCTTGCGCGCTTTGTGACCTAGCGTCACAACAGCCGAACTTTAGCGGACTAGCGAAAGCCTTGTATGCCCGTCTGTGAATGGGCTGGTGCGACCTAGCGGCGCTTCCGCCTTAGACTAGAGCACCCACAGCTGCAAGGCGGAAGCACCGACCATCCCGCAACGCGACGACGACCGCATAGCACGGAGCAAAGAAGCAAAAGACACAGCTGAGCCTTAAACCCTGAAAGCAGCACTGCAAGACTTCTCTGATCGCCACGTCACCGAGTCTTCATCACCTTCTTGCGCAATGCGCAGTAGATGCGGGTAGAGCTGGCCTGAAGCAATGCCGGCAGAGCAAACGGGAACAACCAAACGAATGACCCGATTCGACTGCTTGTAGTGTGTTTGTTGGGGCGTCGCCGTCCTCTCTGCTCTCCTCTGCTCCGACTTCCTCAAATCCTTTAATTGTAGGGCTCCTAGTTCGGGCGGCTAATTGAGGGCTCAGATGGCCTCGAGCTCTCCGTTTCCTCCCCGTAACTTTGGGTTTACACCGGTCACCGGGATGTGGATATACCGGGTTTAAAAAAGGGGGGGGCGCTCTGAGGCACCTTCGCGAGGTCTGCTCGTGAAAGAAAAACAGCCGAAGACAAGAAGCCAAGCTGCCGGTACCGATTGGGATGACGAGAGACCGCAAGGCAAAGACTCCAACATCTGTTGCAAACCGAGAACCCAAAGCGAGGAAGCAACTAGACATGGAGCGCTCATGACTCAAGACCTCTACTTTCAAAAGGATTTCTCAATTGAGGGGGGGGGATGGGGCTCTCTCGGGAAGCTGAGAGGCCGACAGTGTCCCTTCGCCAGCCCAACGAGGTGTCCACCGTCGATGAATTTCGCAGTCTCCTTCCTCCCAAGTCTTCGAAAGCTCAGAGCTTCAGGGCCAAGGCGCGAAGCCGCGGGAGTCGAGGCTTAAAACGCACACGTGGGCTGCGAAGGTTTGGAGCGCTGGAGGCTTCGGGGCTTTTACACTGCAACCCTTATTACACTAGTTGGGGACCTGGGCCTACCTGTGAATCTGATAAAATGTCAACTGCCGGATGTAGCAGTAGCTCCAATGTCAGCTCGGAGAGGGCTTGGTGGCTACGGTCAAGTTCTGGGCGTTGCAGCCTTTCGCACTCGAATTCTTACACCAAGAAAGTACCGTGGGAATGATTGTGGCCTTGACCTATCTTGCGGCTGCCTGCATAGTTTAACACAATCTCTCACAGGCCGACCAAACGCGTCCAGCGGCGGAAGGCCGGAGAGGTGGTCAACAGAGTGCAGAATGATGATTGGAGACATGATACACTCAAACCTTGCAGTTGCCAGCAAAGTGCGGCTCTTACTATCTTTGGTTGTACTAAACCCTACTGCTAGGCTTACCATCCCTCTTCTGACATGTGTCGGCCTGTAATTTCAGGTTTTTTGAAGTCTTTCCCTTGTCCACTTCAGGCAGGCCTTGGCTCCTCCCACAGCACTCGCATGGATCGCATTTCGGCAGTCACGAACCAATCCTCAAGGGGTACAGGCTCACACAGCAGCGTCCTGTCTAGAGTTTAGTGAACAATTGCTCGTCTTCCGAGAGGTCCTTTTTCAACTGTGCGACGGCTATGTTGAGGACCTGTCTTATGTTCTGTCTCTCACATCGCATCGTCTCTGTATTCTCTTGACTTTGTGAAACACTGCAACCGAATCGACGTGTACAACCAAAGCATGTTGCTTCTCAAGTCCACCCGAACGCTCGCGCCCCAAAACAGTCCTCAATCTGCATACATCCGGAAGCTGAACCCCGCTGACCATGCCCAGACCCGTTCCCCCAAAACCCGCTTCTTACACTCGTTCGTGCCTCGAGTTTGGGCTCCGAGCGACACTGGGCAAGAAGCAAACCAACAGCCCTTTCCGAGGTCTGAGCCGGCAAATCGGTTCTTAGGCTGCAGAGGGTAGCGGAAAGAACAATGACTTGCAGACTCAATCGTAAACTCACTATAAATCCAGCCCCCAAACCAACCTGCAAGGGTGCCGTTGGGCTGATCGGGCAAGCAACGGCCAAGTGCGGATCCAAAGAGCAATCCACCACCTGAAGCGTAGCATAGCCGATTCTGGTGTCTTATGGGCTTACCTATGCGAACTAGCTTGCACAGCTCTTGCTGGTCAAGATCACCTATACACAGAATCACAGAATGCATCCTTGCCGAACCGCCAGGACATTGACATCCCTCCACAAATCCGAACACCCACGATAATAAATGCCCGAAAGCCAAGCATCAATGCATGCGAGACCGAAGCTTTTCCAAGCATATCCTGAAGCCACCGGCACTCCGACCCTCGAAGCCTTCCCCAAGTCCTCGCAGCAGGCATTGAACCTTCACAAGGCCTGGCCCAACTACCCCAAGTACACTGTAAGGCACTGCGAGGTCATGCGTTTTTTGTCTATATGTATTTGCCCACGAATGCGCAACCCATCTGTGATCTTTCACGTCCGCCTCGAGCCTCAAATCTCCCGCGACGCGTCGACGAGCCGAGGTGCGGCATTCAGCATGGTGAAGTTGATGCTGCAGTGGGCCACCAAGGCCACCTCTTCCTTCCCAAAAGCTTCGGAGCCCCAAACGGCACAGAAACACAAATCATTAGCCGCCATTAGCCCTTGCTTAGCTCAATCTGAACTGTCCCGGTCACAGGCAAAAGATTTCAACCGCTTCAGTTTTGAGAGGGTTACAAAAACGGAGAAAATGAAGCTGAGGTTAAGAACTCGTTTGACATGCAATTCAATTGTGAAGGACCAAAGCATAATTAGGCTACGAGTGAGAACATGTCGTACCGTATACAAAGTGCAACTGCGTGCTGTATTCTCCCCGCAAGCTGCCCGGCCAGCATTCTGCTGAGAAGCTTGCAGTCCCTGCTTGTTTGCTGCTGGCCTCGGGGCAGGTGCGCAGCCATTTGAAGAAGCCTCAGCTCTGACATCTCTAACAAACAGGAAACGGGAGGAGCTTGTTTTGCGCTGCTTGGACAGGATGTACATGTCCATGCCGACCGTGTGTTCCTCTAACAGGGAATGCTCTATCTACCGCGCAGACCATGACGCAGTTCAACTTTTTGTCTTGCCCTTCTTCGCGGACTGCAGCCCCAGCTGCGATGAAGGCGGGCAACCATGGAGGCCTGGGACTCCCGCTGTGCGGACCACAGCGGGTCATGCTGCTTCAGCCTCGCTGAGACAGTTGAGGCCTACACATGGCAGCACGCAGGACATCAAACCAAGAGGAGGTACTGCTGGGTTGTGTGTTGCGGTGTGGGACTTCCGACACCCCACAAAATGGGGCTGAGCCGCCCAGCAACAAACGCTCTGAAGCTGCAGCCGAAGGACAGGCGGTAATCCACGTGGGGAAACTCGTTCCTTGCTTGGCTCACAGTGCCGAGGTATGGACTCTTCAACAGTTGAAAGACACGTACACACATACAGGAGACTTCGCTAGACGAGTCTTAGCTTCGGAGCTGCAAAGGCATTCAGGAGAAGTATCGAGGACATGACAAGCATCAGAAGACTGCGCTAGCTGCAGGAGCCCTGCGAAACACATAACCTGATGGCATGTGCAAAGTGGCATCGACTGCCAGTGGTGCTACCAGTAATCTGTGATCCTGTGATCGGCTGCTCTCTTGTCACATGACCAGACGAGAATCAGGACCACAACAAACGCCTACCCGAGCAGTCCTGTAGCTATCACAGCCCCGACATACCTCTATGTTAGCAACAGTCCCTGAGTCGGAATTCAGGAACTACATATCTTCGAGATCACTGCCGATACCCTGCAAACAATCAAGTCCTGAAATCCCTGAATTTCCTCACGTGACCGAAGTGCTGCAGTTCTCGGCGTGGCCGCCGACAGTCACAGGTGCTGCCACCGCCGCGTTCGTGAAGCCCCTGCATGCTCCAATGTTGGCAACTGAAACCGAGACTCTAGACAAAGTGAGTGGCCAAGTTCAGGATTCGTGTCCGGAGCAGCACTGCAGCAACTGTATAACTCCAGTCAAGCAGGACTTACACGCGATTTGATCTGGCCTCGTGGGCCACAAAGCGCACGCCGCGCTTGGGGAGACCTGGAACTGGTTCGTCTAATAGTAGCAGGAGTATTTAATGATAATCATGATGGTAGTAAGCATAGTCGTAATTATTGCCAATGCGGGCTGCGGCCCGGGCGACACTTTTACACCGACGCAGATCCAACCGAGCCGCGTCGTGCCTCGACTGTTGCAGCTAGAGGGGGGGGGTACAGCACTGGCCATGAAGCTGCCTACAGTTTACTTTTACACAAGGTCTTAAGTCGCCTTGGCATAACAGCTCGTGACCATGTCTCAATGTCGCGTCTGACTCCGTTTCGCCATTACAGCTTACTTCTTGCTTCCGTGTTCTCTGTGGCTGTCAAGCTTGTGCCAACTTTTGAAGGATCCATTAGCTGGTACTTCCCTGCAATCATCCCTTCATGTTCGATTGATGTTGTAGCATTGCTGCTCAAAGCAGCTCCCTCATACTCCATGGAGGGATAATCGATATAGCCTTCTGCCCCAGATGCATAGAACGTATTCCGGTCGTACCGGTTGAGCCATGGAGGGTCCCTGGTTGGTTCCTGACGGTCTCTCGAAGATTTGCTCTGATGCCAGGCCTTCAATCGTGCTGGCAAGTCGGGATTTGAAATGAACCAACGTCCAAATGCGATGGCATCATATCCCTGTCTGTCCTCCATGCAAGCTTCGTAGGAAGAGGCCGGCGTGAAGCCTCCTGCTCCAATCATGACACCGTGGAACAGCGAGCGATACTTCTGCAGATTGATCAAAGGCATTTGAAAGCCTGGATCCTTCTCAGGATTGGCATCGTGCTTGCCGACCCACCGCGGCTCGGTGACGAGCAAATACGCAAGCGGATACTCGTTCAAGGCCTGAACGGCATGCGAATAAATGGCATCCGGGTTAGAGTCCGTGCAGCCGTAGAATGTATTGCCGCCGTTTGGTGCATCGTGTGGAGACAGTCGGACTCCCACTTTGCCATCTGCCCAAACACCGGACACAGCCTCAACCACCTGTCGGAGTAGCCTACACCGGTTCTCACACGAACCACCGTACTGGTCTGTACGACAGTTGACTCCGTTGTTCAAGAACTGATCGATCAAATATCCATGCGCTGCGTGAACCTCCACACCATCGAATCCAGCGGCTTTTGCATTCTGAGCTGCAAGGGTGTAGTCGTCTATGAGCCGCTGAAGGTCTTCCACGGATAGTTCTCGGGGAACGGCAAAATCCCTGATGCCATCGTATGTGAGAGTTTTTCCTGGCTTCCCGCTGCGGCTCACAATCTGCACCTGACTTGCCGATACCCCAGGCCGATGCCGTTCCCCTACATTAGAAGGGTGCTTGGCAAAATCCGGATGTGCTACGCGTCCCGTATGCCACAGCTGACACACGATCAGCCCACCTCGTTCGTGTACAGCTTGCGTCACCCGCCTCCAAGCTTCCACTTGAGTTGTGGACCATATGCCTGGAGTTGAGGGATAGGCTAAAGACTCCGGGCTGATGTGTACCGCCTCCGTGATGAGGAGACCTCCAGGACTCGCCCTTTGTCGGTAATACTGCACTGCAGTGTCCGATGGCGCCAACTCGGGCTCTGTCGCGCGGTTTCGAGTCAAAGGAGCCAAGACCACCCGATGCTGAAGGGCTCCGATGGAGCCCAATTGAAGGGGAGTGAACAACTTCGAAGGGGACGATGACATTGCGACAGTATCTACGTAGGCGTCGCTAGGAATGCGTTACCGGGCAAGTCTCGTGGTGGTGCCTGCTGTGGTGACAGAGGTGGTATTACGCCGGCGGCGGGCACACTGGCGAGAGAAGGAGCTGCAGCAGTAGCAACGAACCCTGAACCTAAAAACCTCAAAAAGGTTTTGAATTTTTGGGGTCGAGGGTTCAGAACGAAAGAACCACGAATTCGGCATCCGGCTCCAACTCACGCTTTAAGGCTAAGAAGTGGTCCGTCTGGACCCCCCCGAAATCCCTCGGCCACCTATCTTCCTTCCACAACGCCTGTGTTAGTCCTAGAGCTTCTGACAAAAGCCTTGTGTAAAGCTGCGGGCACTGCCTTACCTTCTGGTACCACGTCTTTCCTTCTTGATGTTGCGAAAGTAGTTCATATAGTGTTTGTGTCGATATCCACTTCATAGCACAGTACCCAGAGGTTCCGATGTCCAGGGCAATCGGAAAATTCTCTGAAAGTATAGAGGGATTGACTGTCACAGTGAAGGCTGGTTGCCTGATTCGACAAAGCCTGTAAGCCCGAAGCCTTGCTTACTTCCTCGAAAGTGACTGATGATCCTTAGCTTACGCCATTTACTACGTGCCTGCTAGAAAGGACAATCCCCAACAGTTCGCAGTTCGCAGTCCAATACTTCGTTTTCATCCCTGGAGAATGATGCCATGCAGAGTATGCCTTGCAGCTGCGGTGTTCGACTGTTTCGGGCCCAACCGAGTTTACTTCACCGAGTTAACTTCAGGAACATGAGAGGCTACGATGGCGTTGAGGATAGTCTGCACGATCAGTACCTAGGAAGCCGTTTGGAGAAGCGTACTGCTAGTGCTTGACAGTAACATCCCTGTACCGCACCCCAGACCACTGGGGAAGCCACACTTCACTAAGCTTATACAAATCATATCAACTCCACATCGCTCGTCACAAGCAGGAGCCCAGAGCACAAAATGCTGCAGCTGGAGCCTTTACCGTCCGAAAGAAAAGTTTTGCAGACACGAAGCCGTTGTCCATGAGGAGGTGTTGGAAGGCCAGAAACGCCGTCTGCGTCGCGCGCGTGATGGGCGAGACAACGATCCTCCGCAAAGGGGCGGAAGGGCACTGGGAGGCACCTTCTCGGGCTTAGGGGTTTAGCGGTTTTAGGGACGTACTAGTATTTGGAGGGTTTAGCCTTGGCTCCTGCATTTCGGCAAGGAACGAGAGAGAGCCCTTATAGACAGGCCAAAAGGAGAAGGGAAGGGCCCAGGCAACCTCGCACGGGTCCGAAGGAACAGCAAACTCACAGGCATCTTTGCTGTGCCGAATCCACACCGATACCGGTCTAAGCCGAGGGTGGATCTAGGCTGCAATGTCATGCTGCACTCTGCAGCCGGTATTGACATGAAGAGCCGCAAACCCTTTTAAGTTCAATGCCCAGCAGAAGAAAAGGTACAAGCACGCGTCTTCATGTCGAACCTCCGTCACTGCGACTAACAGTGGCTATGCCCGAAAACCCACACAAACCCGTGGTACTGAACATGGTAGGCAACCGGAGACCCCTCCCTGCTCAAACTGGGTGGCTTCGGCTGAGCGTCAACCTCGGGCTGAGCTGCTGCTGTACCTGCAGAAAAAAGGCAACAAATTCGTGCGCCTGAAACAGAGCGAACAGGAATTCATGATCTCCGGTACTGATGTTCTCTTGAACAGTCGTCATTTTAGGTCGTGGGTGTTGGATCGGAAGCTTGGCAGGTTACCTTGTGCTCTTTTCTTGGGGCAGCGTGGGCTCAACGTTCTGGGAGGCTTCCGGAATTAAACTAAGGTCCAAGATTTAGGCGTTAGGGTCTGAGGTGATCCAAGGGTCTTTGCTGGGGCGAACACCCAGGCGGAATGGATTCTTAAGATGCACTGCGAGACACTGTTCAAAGTTCTGTCGAGATTGTGGACTTTTTTAGGGTTTCGTGCTTGAGTCAAGCTTGGGGATTGAAGGTTTGGGTTTCGCAGTTTGCAGCGCTTCCGGAACATTTGGACGCATGGCTTGTGCGCACTCTGAAGCATGGCCGCAAGATAACCGCAGGAGGGAAGGTTCTGAAAGCCAGGTCATGGCTGGATAGATCAAAACAGATCAAAACTCAGTGTGCCTGAACATCGCCGTGGACGGTTCCAGGACGCAAGATGCCATGCTCTTGTGAATGACCATCAGATTTGTACAGTCCCCAGACAACGCTTGGACATGGACAACCGTTTCACATTCACCTGGGGGGCAAAAGGGGGGGCCGTGATTTTCGGCAGGGTGACGCTTTCCCTTCGCTGGAGCCCGAACCTCGAACTCTGAGTCTAACTGCCAAGCCCGCCGCATGAGTGCAGGCCACCGGCTTCTGGAACATGATTCGCCTTTCCGTGGCTCAGCTCAGGCAGCTTAGGGTTAGGGGGGAGAGGGTGTCGGGCAAGGGCTCCAGGTGTGAGAAGCGAAAGATCCCTTTAACTTCAGCTCCAGCTTCCACTATTAAACTCAGAAGCTGCTTCTATGCTTACGGCAGGTCTCTGGACAAATCTAAGAGCTTGGGAAGACAACTACAGCCGGGAGGAATCGCACTGAAAGCTCCGTGAACTTCTCAGAGTCAGCCATAACCCTACATCCTGTCACGTGCTGCCTGGTCGTCCCCGACGCGGCGATCGTCGCCTAGAGGGAAGCATCAGGTGTGTGGTCTTTGCCGAAAGAACAAACAGGTTGCAGTGTTTCGAAGCGCCAACGTTTCTCGTTTGTTCTAGCTGGCCTGAGCCGCCTGAGCCTAGGATCTCCAAGTTCTACAGAAAGCCATAGACAGCCGCAATTCGGGCGCCTGTGGCACGGTAGCCCAGGTGGCGCCGTAGTCTCGGCTGGTCGCGATGCGGCAGCTAATCGCGCCTCAGCATGCAGAGAGCTGAGCAAGAGTTTGAGATTTCAGAAGACTACGCCTACAATTCCTGAACGACACAGCAAGCAAGGTCCAGACTTTCGTCCCAGGGTCAGCGGCTGAGTTTGGGAGGCTCGGGTTGAAACTAGAAGCGTCTTGTAGCAGCTGAGCGGCAAGGGGATCCCAAACAGGCCTTTAAGGGGTTCCAACGGTAAACAACCATCACGGTGTGAAGTGAATCAGGGACGTGTAGTCGTCGTTTCAGGAATCCGCAGCAGAGGGGATTTGGGCGATGCCTAGTTAAACTCCGGACTGCCTCGAGAATTCACATTAGCGCGGCAGACCCAATACTTTCAGGTTGCAGACATCTCTCACAAGAAACCTCGTGGTCTTGCGCATTCCCTGCATCTATATTAAAGCTTCACCGTCAAGCATGCTTCAACCCTCGGAGAGACTACGGCAAATCATGTAAACATGTTAGGTGCACTCTCTCAGAGCAGCCAAGAGATTCAGCGTGCTGAGCTGCGGACCATAGAGTTGCAGGCCCACCACGGTACGCGGTCCATGCTCAGACCTAAGGGCATCAAGCACAGGAATCTTGCGAGGATGTGCTTCTTTCATCGAGTGCCCTTGTAGCGAACGGAAATCAATTGGACTTCTGCGCCAAGCTTGACGGCATGCCTGACGATTTGTCCATCCCGCCGCATTGAGCAAAACTAAAGTCGAGTCTACAATCACCGTACAGTGGACCCTGTTGAGTACTCTGCATGGCACGTAGCATGCTAGGAAGGCAGCCGCACATGGCTGACTGTCTGAAGCTTGCCGTCAGTGTTGCATTTGCGAAGCAGTTAAAGGGCCTGTTTGCTTCTACGAGCCAGGTGCTCGCACAAGTAGTAAGCCGCGTAACCCTTAGCAAAGCATGCCTAAGCCCTCAGCCAAAATAAAATCTTATGAGCAAGACTCCGAGCCGTAATTAAATCTTAGGCCAGCTTGCCTGAAGAGCTTGTCGAAAGACTCGCAGATAAACCACCGCTTCCCATCGACGACTTCGACCTAACGGGAGTAGGGTTCTGGGCTCAAGGTTTGCGTGAGCACCAACTCAAGATCAAGCATCCTAGGTGCTGTGGAACACAACAGACCTGAAGCAAACAGTATATACACTTAGTGCAAGTGTTACGGATAATCACTGATACTGAGACTGGCCTGGGTTGTCTCAGGGCTCACGATGCCCTCCATGCCTTCGAACCCTTCCAGCATGTTGTGAAAGCCTGCGACGTGTGCTCGATTCGGGAAAACATGGTACTTGGCAGGGGCCCCGCAGCCTAAGCGCAAGACTGGCGGCACCGGCTACAACAAACCAGACATCAACCACCACGCCGAGAACCTAAATCCAGCATAGCCGCATAGCCATGACCAGCGTTCCGCAGAGTCAGCCTTGACCGTGGCGCAAAAGGTGGACCACTTTGGATTCCACGCCTTGCAACTTTGCCGAGATCCCGTAAGTGGGTGAATGTGATCAAGAACCAAACACATTCATGTCGGCTCCTTTATAGTATATGACTATGATAGCAACCCAAGGGGAACAATAGTGGTACAGGCAGCGGTGGAAGGCCGAACCGACCCTTCCGGAAGCTACTAGACCCCCTTTGAACACGCCGCTAGGGCGAAGGCAAAGAAATCACGACCGGAAGCGGTAACACCCTTGAACGCAAAGGCCAACCGGGAAGCAATCGACCCCCAAACATCATCAGACTTGTTGCTTCCCCCTCTGAACGCGAGCAATCCAAGGTCGTGAAATACACGCCTTTGATCAGGCCTTGCGGCCTTTTCCCCGAATGAATGCAGGCCTTTGAAGAGTGATACTGTCAAGCGCTAAAGTCGTTGCATTTGTTGGGTTTGGTGCTCTCCTCGAAGGTGACACAGGCCACGACCGGGTCGCGGCACTGTTCTTGCGTTTGCTCCGTTCTATTCCGTTCTTCAAGTAGACGCCGTCGCCCCAATAATTACAAAACACATATTCCAGAGAGCCTGTTCAAGCAAGAGATTTGTCCGTTCCGCAAGTAGACGCCTCCACCAAGATGGTCGCAAAACACATAAATTCCAGACAACCTGTTCGTCAGTTCCGCAAGTAGACACCGTCGGCGAAAGTTTTACAAAGCTCTCAGCACAGGTGCACGATTTGTCCGTTCCGAAAGTAGCCGCTGCCGCCGAAGTGGTTACAAAACACACATTCCAGCTAACCCATTGGTCCCAGTTCTGCAAATAGACGCCGCGCCAAAGTTGTTCCAAAGCACATAGCACTGGCAGACGAGTTGTGCGTTCAGCAAGTAGACGCCTTTTGCAAAATGGATACAAAACACATAATATATTCAGACAACCTGTGCGTCAGTTCCGCAAGTAGACACCGTCGCCGAAAGGGTCCTGTGTCCCTTTCCCCGAGTGAATGCAAGCCTTTGAAGAGTGGTGCCGATACATCTGTTTAGAAGGTTTTCGGCTGCTCCGTCAAAGGGTTTGGGGCCCAGATACAACTTCCTCAAGGGCAGGCGTTCGAGACACCTTGTTAAAGGGCTTTTAAGCGCTCAGACACAGCTTCCTAACCGGGGCGCCCGATACACCTTGTCAAGGGGCATTAAAGGCTCAGATCCTGCTTGGGGTCCGGGACGGTACCTCTCCCGCTCTACTTTTTGTATGAGGACGATACCCCCAAGCAAATTTGAAGGCCCAGGCCTTCATGGTATGATTTTGCATGAGGTCTTACAGCACACCTTGCTAAAGTGCCTTCGGGACCTCCGATACACCTTTCTGAAGGGCTTTTGAGGGCTTCGATGTACCGTCCTAAAACATGGCTAACGGTTGATGTTTGGATGCATGCCAGGCAGAAAGTCCTAAACCCATGCCAAGCCCGTTTCCGAAAAATGCTTAACCCCGGTGTGGAGGCTCAAAAGGTTGCTGCTTGGATGCCCGGCCCGGAAATGCTTGACCCCAGTGTGGACGCTGTGAGATGTATATTTACTGCTCGATGCGAAGTAAAGCCTCCCCTAGTACTAAAGTTGGGGTTGCCGAAACCCATCTTAAACGCAAAAGTATCGCTTTCTTCTTTTGTTGGTTCCCCGCTTGACCGCTGGCAAAAACAAAGGGTCGATAACGACTTTCATCTTTCACAGTGATGATTTAGGCTACCATATGAAATCCTGAACTGAACTGTAGCCCAGAGGCAGTGGCAATGAACACCGAAACCCACTCAGCCCTACCATGCCACAACCCAAGTTCACCATAATGAGCCGCTGCAGAACTGTTAGAGACACTGTATCACTGAAGGGCATGGGGCCAAGACTCCAAGACCTCCCACATTGTAGCCCGAGCCCGAAGCCCCAAATATTCTAAGCCCTTAAACCCAAAAGCTACAAAAACGCCAATCCCTAAACCTTAATCCCTAAACCCCAAACCCTTAAAAACCCAGCTTTGGAAGCCCTGCGCAAAGAGGCCCCAGCCTGGCGGCACCTCTCGGTCTATGCCTGAGGAGTCCGGGAAGAAAACGGTGGTTGGGTGCAACGTCTCCAGAGCTTTGGGGCTGAGAGGGATTGAATTCTTGAAGGGAGCGCGGGATGCGGAGGATCCTTGGGATCTTGAGCCCTTAACTCTCTCTTAATACTCTTCAGGATGTCAAGTTGGGTTAGGATCTTCAGTATCTTTGACTGCAGTTCAAGATCTTTAAGATTTTAGGACTCCTTCGGCTGATTTACATTGATTTACACTGCGACACGCGTATTGAAACCGCCGAGATCGCAGGTTCGACTTGGGGTATAACCTTGCTTTACAGAATGCCTTGTCAGCCGTAATTGGGGTTTTGACCGTGGTTCATGATTTCAACCAACACTGACAGGCGCAAGGGCTCTCGTTTGGCAACTTACTTCACCGTCGTCCTCTCGGTTTTGACCGCTGCGATGACCAAGAGGTGTCGAATTCAACAGGTGATAGGATCCCACTGCAATTGCTGCAGTTCTGCGCGCGGGTATAGTAAGCAAAAGTGTTAGATGGCTGTGGCAATCTTGGGCGGCCGCTTTGGGCTTTCACGCGGACGTCCCGGACGAAGGCATTCAGCAAGGCATTCACTGTGCCCTGGTCCTGGCGAAAGAGCTCGCAACCGACAGTCTACGGCCAGAACGACCCGTATGCCGTTGCTTATCGAGACGATCCGCATCTGAAATCCTAGGAGAAGAACTTGCACTGATCCCTACCTTTCTCCTGCGACCCCAAAGTCCTCGAATTCGAAAAGCCGCTTCTCGCCGCTCGCTGCCTCATTTTGCTGGCCCATGCCGACATCGTTGTTGCTGTCGTTTGATGATGTGCTGGCGTCCATCTGGTGCGTTTTCGCTGCGCAGAAACTCTCGGACGAATACCACTCTGCTCTAGTGAACATCATGAACCTTGCGCAATGTCTAGGCTCCGGAGATGCCGGCGACCGGATGCAAGACGAAGTTCAACCTTTATCGTGAAGCCACCTATACCGCGATGTTGAGGATGAGGGTATATGCCGGTGATGATGGAGATGGCGATACTGGTGGCGACCGCGACTTCCACCATCTGCACATTACCCTAAGCTTCAACTTCCAAGGATGAGGCCAGACAGGCCCTACTCTGTCCGAACCCATAACCCAGACTCTGCCACAAACTGGCCTGCACATGCCATTTAAATTTAGATTCTGGCAAGTCGGTCCATGGCCGACGCGAGGCTATCGTATATGAACAGTTTCAAAGGGATTGCCACACGCTTTTTCGACTGAGTTGCGGCTTCTGCGTACTCCTTGGCGCGCTCGGGGTGCGCCTGCAGGTACAGAAATCTTGGACTTCGATGTAGACCTGTGAGTCTTCAAATCTTCAGGTTTTGCTTGCACAGTTCCCAACACGTGGGGTCGAGGCAATTGCAGTTTTCTCCTCTGCTCGGCCTTTCGCCAGAGTAGCTGCTGCAGCTGTGCGGCATCTTCCAGCGCTTCCTCTTTGGCCTCGATCAGGAAATGCGACAGCGCTAATAATAGTTGTTTTGTGATTTTGATTCAACATCTGTTCTTCTTCCCTAACTACTTCTACTGCAGCTGCCGCTGCCACATGACGACCACGACGACGACAACCCCCCCAATATCGCAATCCCAAACTCTGAGATGACCCTGACGACGGCAGCGGCTTTTCCAGTTGTCGTTATGATGGTGATAGCGATGATGGTGGTGGTGATATGAGCATTTTTGCGGGCACGTATATTATGTATTCTGTCGCCAGAAGTGTTGCGACGCGGAAGTCTTGAAACTCATGATGACGAAGTGGGATCTACCACAAGATGCCTGGACCCGGTGGGACTCATCCAGCGCCCCAAATCGCATCGCTCGTGTTGCTACACAGACTGACCACGATTCATGCAGTCATACTATACATAACTCTTAAGGATTGAGGCTATTGGGTTTCCAACTCTTGGGCTTCTGCTAACTGTATGGCAAAGAAAGGCACCTGCCTGCACATAAGAGGCCTTCGTTCATCGACATAAACTGCTACATAAAAGAAAACGAAATTAAATCATGTACTAGTCTTGAAAGGCACCAATGTGATTTTCACAGACCTATACTACCGAAAGATGGAACCCAGAAGGACCTCGAAGCGATCCAAAAGCACATTTGGTGGCAGCTGTAGAGGCTCTTGGTTGAAAATACGAGGAAGCATGGAAACAACCACCTCGGGGCACCGTGTCTCGAACTATGCCGGCGAGGTGCGCGCTGGACGCCAGCAGAGTCGGATGAGCCTCCACAATGGGTTGCTAACTTCTGATGTATCGCGGCATCCTGCCGTACCGTACAACTCCTGAACCCGATGTTTCTTGGGACCTGCGTCCGGGCAGAGGTCCCCGCGGGAAGTTGATCATAAGTCGTGTGGACGAGCCTCCATCTGCGACACATCCTACACCCAACAACCTTCAAATCCAGAACTGCGGCGCTCACGCGGGGTAAGACGTCGTGAGTTGCCAAGGTTTGGGGCTGTAGGGATGGAGATTCACAGTCGGTCTCGTGCAGGAATCTGCAGGGCGGGTGAACTCGAGGGACTGCAAGTTCCCAACACCTGAAATATGGGAAAAACGCGCTACAGGACTCCTGCGATATATCAAACCCCCAGTCCTTCAAACCCCAAGCGCCCAAGCCCTACTGCAGTCGAAGAGGAAGAGATCCTTCAAGATTGTCAACTCCCCTGCAAGCCCCCGACACCAGCCACCTCTTTCTGCTGCGCCGAGCTGCTGTGCAAAAGCCTGGTCCAATCATGGCCTAGCCCTTCTTTGCTTGTTCCTCCTCCGCTTGCTGGCACCACGCATTGTCTCCTTCTGACCAGTCTGACCAATGCAACCACCGCTAGTTTGATCTCCACTCCTGCTTCTAACAAGATCAACTGCTGCCAATACCACAGCAACTACGACCACGACTACAACTGCTACCACTCCTGCTCCTGCAGCTGCTGCTACTACGACGACGCTATGACTACGGCTTTTTGACTTTTCACAGTTTTGCTGATGACGCAAAGAATACTCACAAGATTATTAGCAAAAATATGAACAACAACAATAATTTCGTCGTGCCAATTGTCCCCTCATGACAACGACGAGCGATGCGACTAAGTATCCGGACTACAACTTCGAGGTACTATGCAGGACGTTCTGTAACTTGAGGCTCTCTTCGACACTGTAGATTTTCCGGGAGCTTAAGATTCAAGATCCTCTCGGAATTGTGTCAGCCCTCGTTCCTGCCTCAGCGAGTCGCTCGGCTTCGGTCGGCTCCTGCGCCACAGGTCACAGAAAACACTTTGCTTTCATCGTTGTACGAATATTGGCTTCAAGGTGTTGCACGTCCGAACTCAGTCGATACCATTCTTGGCTTAATCTCGCCGCCAGCACAAGCCGAGGCAAACGTGTGCAACGTACGCTTTTGCCAGGAATGTCCCCAAGCAAGACCACCACGACCAAGGTTGCTCCACACGCATCGCGGTTTCACACTTGTCTCTACAATGCCAGAGACGTTTCAAGCTCAGAATCACAGGGTGGCCAACGCCTTGAGTGAATCATATCTTCCCCCCTCAAATGAAGAAGCCTGCGCAGCCGGAACTTGAAATACATAGGCATGGCTTTGTTATGTTAATGCGCGGATTCGGATCCAAGCAAGCGGCAAGCCTTTTCCCTATGTATGCTCATACTCTAAGAGGAGACAGGCATGCCGAACCAAAAGCATGTCAGTGAAGATGACAACTTTGGGCCCAAGCACAGGGACTCCTCGAAACAAAACCCCAACTTGCATCTGCTGCTCTACGCATTGCCAACCTCCCCCCCTTTTGCAAGAGCCAACCTCCCCCCCTTTTGCAAGATCAATGAAAAGCCCACCTACGTCTCGCAGGGATTCATTGGCGGGTGCCTCTACATCCACCGCCACGGCTTGGCAGCCCTGTCCTCGCGCCCTTTCTGGGCGCCGGAGAGCGAAACAAGCCTCGTGGCATGAAACGGCCCGGGGGCTATGATAACAATTGGAATAGGGTTTTGGGGTATAGTTTACTAGAATTATAATAAGGAACCACAAAATAGTATCGGTAATTATTAAGGCTATCATGAACGCACCATCAGCTTCTGCCGTGCTTAGTGTGAATCGGTTCCGGGGCACACGTGGGGATGGGCACTCCAAGAACACCATTCGGGATTTTTCAGGGACACTCTGCAGACATTCAGGGGAAGGACCCTCTGCTGGAAACTCTGGGTATGGGCAGTCGAGAAATACTGCTCCACGGGACACTCTGCAGGGAGGAGCAGCAGGGGAGAGCGGGCGAGGAGAGAGGGAGACGAGGGTTGGAAAAACCCCAACCGAAACCAAACAAACGATCCACGAATTCTGGAATTCTTCAGCAGTGCCTTGTTAACTTGTCGCCTTTGCTGGGTTTGTGTTGTCCGTAAAGGATTGTCTGGGACCTCTCTGCATGCACGTGACACAAGCAGTGATGTCGCTCAGAAGCCGCTGCATGTTCTTCTACTATATAATGATAAATTATATATGTTGTAATCTTAATACAGTATAGTACGGTATAGTATGATCTGCTTCATCATATTGTAGCTGTATAGTATAGTATGAGTATGGTCCAGTATAGCATGATATGCTTTAAACATATTGCAGCATATTATACCTCAGGTGTCTTTATTCGATTCATCTACCACCTTTTGGCACACCCCTCCCGCCCCCTCCCCCCCAACTCTCTGTGCAGACCGGCGGCGGGGCACAGCCACAAAGGCGTGATGCGTGCCGCCGGAAACCGTCGCAGTGCCCGGTGTTGGATTCTGACATGCAGCTCCATGACAACAGCTCCAACTCATTGAAACATGTGCATTCTAGGCACTCTGTTGACCCATGCATGACATCGACAATCCGAAGTGCCGAAACCTGCCCTAGCGCCCTACATCAATCCGACGGCTGAGCATGGAAGTGGTACCAATGGAACTCCAGCGCACATGGATGACTCGAAATGATTTCTCCCATGCCTATGGCAAGCTTGCCTGCATGATGCTAAAGTCCAGGTGAATCACACCGTCAACCAAATGACCCGACAATCAGAACCCCCCATAGCCGTGCTTCCTGGCAACAATGCGAAATGCGAGAAAACTCCTTCAGCTCTAGCACCGAGTTGGGAAGCGAGCTTGGTAATGCAGATATAATGCTAAATGATGAAAAAACTGCTGAGGGGTGCAAAGTGCAAAAACATGTGTCAATCTGGAGACTTCACTCCCATTGCCTCGCTTCGCAGGGCGGCCTGGAATGAACTGGCCCAGGTGACACCACGGCGCTGGGGAACATCGCATGAGGAGGCTCCAAGAGTTGGGGCCTTGTATGCAGGTTGAAGACACCGGCATAGTTCCCTTTATTGTGGTGCCCGAACCGCACAGAAAGGGGTTACTAGTAGCAATCAAATGCCATGTTCAACTTGATTCGCCGCTTGCATCGGGGCAAGTTGCTGGGGGCTGGCAGCTGGTTTGACTCGCACAGGGGGGTAGTCCATGTCTGGCCAGTCTGCAGGTGGATCTGGCTTCGATCCGGCTTCAAAAGGCTTGGAAGGCAGGGCTTTGTTGAAAGATCGAGCCCATGGCAGTCGCTGGGCCAACATGATGGCGGGAAGTCTGTCGCCACATCCAGAAGGGCATCGGTTTGCGGGCACAGAGCAGAGCCGATCATCAGCAATTCGTTGGCTTCTGACATCCCGATGTTGGTTTGCAGTCTACAGACGACTGCAAGGGGAATGCGGGTCGTTCGTCGTCAGAACGGCACCAGACCGTCCCTTGATGCGACGGCTTCGTGACCCTGCGAATCGACTCTTCTACTTCTACTTCTGTTAGCATGAGGGAGGTGCAAACCTATGGAAGACCTGGCAGCAACAAGAACTTAGCCGCAGCCCAAACCCCGAAACTCTTGGCACGGCGTCTTTGGCAGGCTTCCCAGCATGTTATCGGTAGTGCTAGCAGAGCCGCACATCGCCTTCGGCGACATGCTGCAGATTCAGAAAGCAGACTGAACTTTGCGCCGTTCAGGGCGGAGGCTGCGATGACGGCCCTCACTGTTGCAGCAGTCGAACATAGTCCACCCATAGTAGTCTGGGGTTGATCAGCTGATCAAGCTCTTGCCATCAATCTTCTGCGCAGAAGACCATAGAGCAAACCTTAGATAGCCTTAGACTCATGTCGGAAGTTCAGGTTCGCAAGCCAACCCTCCTAAAGCCTAAAGGACACCCGAAGCAAAGCGTCGGAGATCGAGTAGCCCGGCATCCTAGCCAATTCTAGGCACTTTATCGCAGCTCCGGGCCCAAGGTGTGCGCAGCATTGGCAGTCACTTCAGCATCTCTTCTTATCCGCTTACTGGAGGGCTTGGGGTGAGAGTTTAAAGTACGTCTTATAGGCTTCAAGGACTTCGGATTTAGGCTCCAAGGCTCCAGGACTTTCAGCTTCTTGCGGGCGGCTGGCTTAGGACATCAGGTTTCGGTGGTTCTGCGCTTTGCTGCATCTTCTGCCTTGGAGACGCTCATCTTATCATCTTATCGGGAGCTTTGATTCTTCGTTTGAGGGAGATCCGGCTCGTCTTTGTGGGGACTGCCAAAGTGTCCGCGGAGGGCCTCCAAGAGGGAATGCAGTACCATAAATCTACTCAGCAGGTAGTTCGGAGCCGTCGGGCTTGAGGAGCAAGCAGAGGCTAGAGCGGATCAAGGGCTTGCTTTGTCTGCAGTGCCGGGTCTGTGCGACACTCAGGAATCTTTCCCCAAGTTGAGGCGGACGAGTCATACCGTTCCCTCAGCATACCCTCTTGGCAAAGCGGATGCCAAAGACGACCAACTCCTCCGTCCGTGTAACAGCAGGGTCCTAAAAGTCGTCAGCCAATGTGTTTTGTACTCAGAGAATGAAGCGATGCTGCCGATGTTCATTCAGCTCAAACATCCCCCTGACGTCAAGGTAGTTGTCACAGGACTTTGCACCGGAGAATATGTTGCGCTCTTGACAAGACGACACGCCCGGTCGAGTTACAGTGATCCCACTGACTTGGCCCGTGGGTCACGGCAGGTGACTGAAGACCCGAAGTTTTTTTTGTAGAGTAAATACCGGTGTACTCAGGATACTGTGCCACAGCAAACGCATCCAAGTGCGGGTCTATACTAGAGTCTATACCCGGCCGGGTATAAATCTCGAGTACGAAACGGAGCGGGTAGAACCAATTTGTGTACTTGTGTGTCCTCATCAATGCATTTCGTCCAGGACCCTTCAAGCGAATCCAAAACTAAACCATACTAGTAGCAAATCTTAGGGTAGAGAGGGGCTTGAGAAGCCGGAGGCTTTGGAAAACAGCGAAGGCTACACATGGCATCTCAGGTGCACGGATACCCCATCGTTTCAGGCAGGCTTTGGGGGCCGTACATCTCTCTGGGAGTCTAGAGTCGAAGTTCGCTCTGCCAGCCCCCCCCCTGCTCATGCCATTACAAAAATACAAGCAGCGCTCGATAGCAACCCTGCTTCTGGCCAGGAGGGCCCCTAAAAGATGGCTTCCGACTTACGGACTTGACTGAGTCAGAGCCGCAATACTTGTTGATGTTCTGGTTCGGATCTCAGAAGTTAAAGGGTTCATGGATTCCGGGATCATTGACCAGGCCGGCCGTGCCGTCTAGGGTTCGGATTCGCGTTTCTGGGCCTGGATATGCCATAGACCTGCACGTAACAAAAACTGCAGAGGCCAACTAGGGCGATCTTGGGGAGGAGGGTTGGTTGCTCTTTGCGATTCACAGCTTGTGTCTCGAGGCTCCTACATGAGGGCCGCTCTACAGTTTCTTGGTCTGTGTTATGCCTGTTCGGTACCTTAAGGAATTGGCCTTGGACTAGACTGGGATCCTCAAGATGCCCATACGGCCCCCTACACTTTCCCTGAAACGAGGGCATGCGACGTCGCGGGGCATTTTGCCCTGCCAAGTTTGGCTTGGCCCATCTGTCGTTCCAAATCTTCGTAGCACGCAGGAAGAGAGCACCTGAACCCTGTCCTCTGATGCAGAGCCGCAGCACCTATACTTCCGAAACTGGGACTTCGGGCATGACATCTTGATCCTTAGGGTTAGGCTGGAGGGACGCGGGCTAAGGTGAGCCTACCTAGGCATCTGTGCGAGTAGACACGGCATCCAGCGCCATGACCTTTCATACTCTAATCGCTAGGCCCATGCTCTCACGCGTGCATCTTGCACTCCGAAGCCTCAACAATTCAATCCTCTACACCTGAGTAACCTCCAAGCCCCTACTCTTCAGAGGAGTCTTCAATTTGAGCAGCCTCCGCCTCTGCGGCTGCAATGCAGACTTCGTATCGTCGACCTCCCAAACCCTGAGTTCGAAACCGGGGATGTGGAGATGTTTTCGGACTCCTGCGGTGCCGTCCGAGATTTGGATCTGCGAAATGTCTGGGGCTGTCTGAGTTAGCCAATGGCTCGTCTGATGTATTGTACAACTCAAGGAGTTATGCCTTGGCTCCCAAGCCTGAGCTCCGATCGCATAAAGGGGTCAAGATGACTTGACCTTGCAGAATGTATAGACTCTACTACACTTATGGGCAAAGAAAGATGATAGCAGCTACCATCTCCTAACAGCACAGCACATCGAAGCTGGTGACATCGCTGAATCGGTTGGCGCAAGCCTCGGGGGGTCCTATCCTCATGCAGAGACGGAGGAACAACAAGCACTGCTGGTGAAGCGACAGCATTGACAATGGTTTCGGCTGTTCCATCTTACCAAGACGGTGCAGCATATCACTCTCTAGCTTGAGGCGCTTCTTGATACTGGTTTATGCATAAGTTCTGTGTTTCAAGATACATTACGATGAGGCTCTTAGGCAGGAAGTAGTTTATTGAAAGTACCACTGGCAAACATACCGAAAGTACCACGCGTGTCACACGAAACTGGCCTTACCATAGGATTGAAATGTACTGAAGCAACCTGTCATGTGACATGCCAAATCACCTCATCATATGTCCTTTCATGTCATGATCTATCACATCATATGTCATGTCATATCATGCCATGTTTATCAGGTCACATCATGTCGTGCCACACGACGGGTTGTTTCAGTAGATGCTCAATCCTATGTTAAACCCTGGTTCGTGTGACAGGCGCGGTACTTTCGGTACGTTCGCCACTGCTACTTTCAATCTACTACTTCTAACAAGATGTAACAAGCAACCTAGGGTCTAGAATCCACAAGACTGAAACAAGACAGAAACAACGTCTTGCAACAACTCCGGCTCTCCAGTTCTGTGACATTAGAGGCCCTAAGCGCCGCGTCGCGAAGAAACCCTGCATTTGTCCAACATCTCTTTAAACCAAATGACGATCTCGGAAAATGAGGCATTGATGCACACGAAACCTCGGCATATGCGGTGCAAACCGAACTTCCCTCAAAACTTCAGGGCTCAGCAACCCTCCGTGGGGTGGTTTATCATATCATCTGATGGTCTCAACTCTAAACTACATCTTCCGACAATCCCGTAGCGGCTGACATGCAGACCGGTGGATGTGGGCAGGGACGAAGGTCGCGTTCTTGAATTTGTGGCTAACTTTTGCCTCAAAAACCATTCGTCTCCTCGCCGCGTCTAGATGGAAGCAGCCACGGAAGCAGACACAACAAAGGTTAACAACAAATCTACAGGACAAAGAACAAGTAGTTTGGCATGTCCACCTGCCGAAGCAACATCGATGTCGCAGTTAGAAATTTAGGCCAAGGCCAATTATTTGATGGAGTCGTGGCCATCGTCGTCAGCGTGGTCAACGTCACTGTCACGAGTTTCGCGTTTTTCATGCTCATCATCGCGGCCGACGCCGAAATCAGAATGGCAGGAATAGCAAGCAGCGAGCAATATAGGGATCTGAAGGTAGAAGCAGCGCATCTTATCCTAGAAAACGGTAAGGTCCAGGCTTCTAGCGCTACATGTCCAGAGCTCTGACCTTTCGGATACAAGGCATCGCCCCTTGCGCATCACACTTGGGCCTCACGCCACCACCCTGCGCATGTTGTACTTGTCCGTTGGAGCTTGCAGAGTAGGGCACCGGGATTCTCGCCCTTTGGCAGAGGCTGTGACTGCTGGTCCGGGATCGCTCCCGGTAGTGTGGTTTCAGGTTGGCGTCGAAGACTGTGGAAAGCAGGGCTTGGTTTTAAAGCTACGCTTCAAGCCAGGTCGGTGTAGGAAATCCGAAATCCATAGGCCACAGGATTCCTGACATGATACCTGGACTGAAGAGCACTTCGAGGAGATCAAACACGCTCCTCGGCTCCTTCTTCCCATCCTCCGTTTTTATCTTAGGGCTGCGGCTGTGATGCTCTAGAGCTTGCAGTGGCTTGCAGAGCATGCTGAACTGTCTTCGGAGCTGTGCAAACCTGCATTACTTTTAGCCCTTCTGTTGCGGTGTTTGCCTGCCCGAGCCACCATGCTTGAGGGGGGCACTATTTCTCTGTTAAATCCCTGAAGGCGCAAGTTCGGAATCCTCAACCTTGAAACAAAACACGAACTCGTCTCCTGCCTCGGGTCAAACACTTCGACGCCTGCCATTGGTGGGCACAGGACAGAAAGGTCTTCCGTAGCATCGGGAGCCCTTAATTCGCACTTCATGTGCCATGATGGCTCATGATGGGGTGAGGCTTGTCCTGACCCCGTGCTGGCCGGCTACGGACAAGGGTCCTGGTGACCCCCAAAAGTTGTGTCAACCGCCGACGGACATGGTTTGATCTCATATCTTGTTTACGTCAGCGCAAAGAAGGCAGACGCCCGCCTGGAGTCAGTTTGCTCGACAGGGAGGGCTTCGACAATATCAGAGATCTGACCTCAGATGGAACAGCTCCCGAGCCCGATCATGGGGGGTCACTGAGCTCAAGTGCTCCGTGCGCTCCAAAAGCATCAGTTAGCTCGAAAGCACCGAAAAACAACTGAACCCTACACGAGGCATAAAACACTATCCGGGAAGAGAACGCCGCTCCTTCCTGCCTCGCCAAGGTGCTCTCCAAGAAGTCGCAAAGGGCTTCGAACCTCATGCTCTGCTTCCTCGGCCGCAGGACCGAAAGCGCCCCTAAATCCCACATCCGCGAAACACCGAAACAAAAAAACCTGTAACCCCTAACTAAGCCCTCACCCGGAAACCTTGCGGCCGGGCTGCGTTGTATCGTACATCAGTGCCATGATATCCAGCTTCGTCGCCTCGGCCAGAGTAATCTGGCATCAAAAAAACAAATACAATGCCGCGAATGACAGCTCAGCCCAGCTGAAATGCAAACACAAGCTGTTGCGGAAATCGATGTTGCAGGCCACCAAACCGACGGCTGTCATTATCAGCTTGCTTAAAGCAGGAGACATCGCCGGGGGCGGGCAAACGGGAGCCCCAAAAAAATGCAACCCTCATCTTTATCGCAGCTGACCTCCAAAAACCACTCTGCACTTGAAGCCCTGAAGGTAGCATAACTGTCCGACAAACGAATGTAAAGGCGGCCAGCATCAACGGCAGCATTTAAATTTACACATGCCAAACTTTTTCGGCTCTGGAAGCTGTCGGCCAACGGATTCTACAAATGCCCAGCTAGCCCGCACCATGCGGCACGCCCATCGGAATCACAACAAAAGGGTACCTAGTCGTCACGCAGCAGACACCCCCACACATTGACAGGGTATCAGCCTGAACCTTGACCAAGCCTACTTGGGGAAAGAGACATGGACGAGAGAGTCACGAAGCTCATTCCAGCCGGGCAGCATAACCTTTCAACTTCATCGTTCCGTGCACAAACTCCTTGGAGGACGAGGCTGGCAGTGCAGAGCAACAGATACACTACATCTGCAATCTGTCAGCCTTTGCCGCGGAGCTCACATTGAAAGTTTCAACAAGAAAGCTGCATGATGCCACGAACCCTAACCCTAAACCCTGGGATCATCTCTGTTGGGTGCTCGGGGGCTCCGAGACGACGAACTAGCAGAATGAGGGACCCCCGTGCGAAGCAGTACAAGCTTGTCTGTACTGCCGTGGGTCTTCAAGCTCTGCTAAGCAAGTGGATCCAACAGCCAAGGCTCCTCTATGTCGATGTCACCATTGCAGTCGGAGTCCAGCAAGGTGAAGATGATCTTTGTCTCATCCGGATCGATGTCCAGTCCCGAAAAGTACGCCTTCACCTGATTCTTAGCTTCTTAAAAGGTGTCGGGCTACAAGGCCCCGCTTTGGATCTTGCGCCCAGTGGAACCTCTGGGGCTCCCTGCGACAGGATTTGCCATGTGCGCTTGGAACTCCTCGTAGGTCAGCGTGCCTGAGGCATCCTGAGCAGAAAGCTGAGAAGCCGAACCCCGCACAGGTGACGATTTGGAGGCTCGCGTTTCGGAGCCTCGTCCTTGGCTCTGTTGCATGACACAGCAGATCCGAAGCCGGCCTTGTCGGCCTTCTTGAGGAAGCCCTTGATGGACTCGGTCATCGATCTCATCTCGTCCAAGTAGCCCTCGAGATCGACTAGTGACTACGCTGAAAGATGGCAACACATGGTAGCGCTCACTCAATTCTGTTGGGCGAGTCTGGCTGCGCAGGCTCTGACCTTAAGGGAGGCCCTCTGCCCTTCAATGAGACACAGATCATTACAGGTCTGGTCCCGGTCCCAAGCACAAAAGTCTACCAAGCTTCAGCTCTACATCTGCCTGCACGATCTCATCTTCGGTTCGGGTACAGACCGCGCTGTCCTTGGGTAGAAATTGACTGAGGCATTCTTTGAAAAGTCTGGTGGGCGGTAGGCTCGGGAAATATCTGTCATCGCTTTAAGCCATAATTATGCCATAGTTCTCAGCCCTGAATGACGTGCAAAGCTTCCTACGAGCTTCTCTATGGCAAGCTTTTTATGGGCATTACAATGAAGAGCTTTTGGGAGGCTTCCTAAGCGTTTCAGGGCTGCGTGTAGTGTGGTTAAGGCCGTCTGAAGGGTTGGAATTTTCACGAAGCCGTCATACGTGTTAGATTATCGATAAAACTTCCCGCAAGTTTCTCGATGGCATAGCCTAGCTGACTGAGACCGCTGGGGGGCTTTCCTACGGGCTTCAGGGCTGCTACCATAGACCGAAGGAGTTGCCTAAGGCCGTCTTAAAGGTTGGATTTGTGACGAAGTCTCGGAACCTTAGAGGAACCCTCAAAGGAATCCTTAAAGGAGCCTTGAAAAGAAACCTTAAACGGAACCCTTAAAGGAACCCTGCGATGTCCATTGGCCTAGATCTGGCTACGTCAACTTTAACGCCACTTACGCGGAACTTACGCGCTAAACCATGTACAGAAAAAGCAGAAGTACCAGCAGTAGTGGTGGTAGGGCTGGTGAGCCGCAGCAGTAGCCGTAGCCGTGGCCGTAGCAGTGGCAGTAGCAGTCGGAGGTGGGAGGTAGTATGTGGTCCGCGGTGGGTCGTACCTGACGGTTCTGGGCAGCAAGTGAGAAGTGGTGGTGGTGGTGGTGGTGGTGGTGGTGGTAGTAGTAGTAGTAGTAGTAGTAGTAATAGTAATTGTACTAGTACTAGTACTAGTACTAGTACTAGTAGTAGTAGTAGTAGTAGTAGTAGTGGTGGTAGTAGTAGTAGTAGTAGTCGCAGGAGGAGTAGTAGTAGTAGTAGTAGTAGTCGTAGTCGTCGTGGTGGTGATGATAATAATAATGATAGTGCTAATATAGTAGTGCTAATACTGGTGCAAGTAGTAGCAGCAGCAGAAGCGGAAGCAGCAGAGTAGTCGTAGTAGTCGTCGCAGCAGCAACAGCGGCAGCACTAACAGCAATAGTAATAGAAATGATCGTCGCAGTAACAATTAAAACAACAAAAATGGTAACAGTAGTGGTAATGGTAATGGAAATCATAAGAGTAAGAGTAATTGCAGTTGTAAGCAACAATAGTACTAGTAATAGTGGTGGTAATAGTCATAGTAACGGTAGAAGTAAGAGTCAGAGTGATGGTAATAGTAAGAACAAGAGTAAGCGAAATGGTATTGGTCATAGTAATAAGCGACAGTACTTGTAATATGCTACAAACATAACTTTCGCAAAAAAAAACTTGTCTTCCGCGGCACCATCGCGGAACTTACGCGAAGGCATGTTTAGGCTATGGAGTCGGCGTTTCATATAAATTACAACACAAGGCGCTTTAGATCAACCGCCAAGACTATCAACATGTGCTCGGGCTTTCCGAGCCCTAGAATCTTTCGGGATGGCAGGAACAAAGATCTCAGACTCTTCGATTTCGGTCCGGGCAGGCAAATCCGAAAACCCCGCAGTGCCGGGTTGAGGGCCACGCGTGCATGCTTAGGGCTTAGGGTTTGGGGTTTAGGGTTTAGGGGGCTTAGGCTCATAGGAGCACATAGATAGAGATCTCATGCTATTCTGTCTGTTGTGAAACAGTCCAAGTGGCGACGAAAACGCCTGTCACCACATTGAAGAGTCCGACAACGCAGAAGGCAATGTAGAAGTTGAACATGAGGAAATAGAAGTCCCCCATACCTTCACGGGTGGAGGTTTAAAGTTCTAAATGTGGTGTACCGTAGGAGGGATGACCTCACGATCCACTTGCATACACTTTTCTGGATTACGACTTCTCCGCACATTTGGCAGCCTTTCCCGGCATCCAGCTATTCCGAGGAGTTCAGAAATTATCGGCAGTGGGTTTGGGAAACTACCAAGCTCAACAAGGTCCCTGTTGTCTGCCAGACGGACTATGACCTGAGTTCTTTCCGTTCGCCCCGTGTGGCTACAGTACTTCGGGACGCCAAGCAGAACGACTACACTCACAGGCGCCGAATTTCATGCAGAATCCTGTGCCGTGCTGCTGATTCCATGGAGAACTTCTGCGTACTGATACCAGTCGTTGCCACCGCTGACTGCCTCGCAGATTGTGGACCCCACTCGAAGCTACCAAGACGACTGCAAGACCTTTTAGCAGCCGGCGTGTCTTGAACCCCAACTGTCAACCCCACGCCAAACCATCACTTCTCAACCCGAGGCCCCGGCCCAGAGCCCTTAAACCCTGCGCTCCGACTCCAACTCTCCCTCTGGATCGGTGCCACCTCCCAAGTCTCAAAAGGAAAGACCTGCACAAACCCACACTGCAAGACCGCAAGAACCACCGTAGCGGCAACAAGAAAAGGAGGCGGTTACGAGGGAGACAGGAGTTCGCATTGACGAATCGCGAAATGCTGATGTTGCTACACCACAGACAACTGCGACAGCCACTTCTAGTCATTCTAGTCTTCTACTGGTGTGTGGGGCGCTGCCGGTAGTACTCTTGCAACTACTTGCGCTGTATTGGCATTCATAGCCAGGCCACGCTCCACAGCGAGATCATAGAACCTGGGAGGGGAGAGAACATGAATTCTACCCACCTCAGGAAAGGGCCACAGCGATGCGAGGAGGTAAACGATTGTGTCACTCGGACTGGAGACGGGGCATCTAGGGGTGTCCACACACACTGTCGGCAAGCTACTATACAGGGTCTGATGATAGCAAGTCGGACCTCGTGATACTTAAAAGGAAAGGATGGATCCAGCCTAATCGGGGCTCCCAGTCTAGCGCAACTCCCATTATCATGTTCGAAGTGACTTTGGGAGCCTGGGGTAGGATGCAAGCAATTCAGGGATGCCGCGAACACTCGTCTCGTCTGGCCACACTCTCACACGTCAACCCGGGGGTTGTAGAGTTGAGGGCCTCTGTTTGGCTTCATTAGCAAGGTATCTTCTCCTGTCATGAAGTGTATGGCCGGGGACTTGGCGGTTGGCGGTTAGTTGGAGCTTCGACTGGCGCACTTCCTGTCATGTGTTAATATTGTTGAGCCCGAAACATCTGAATCCTTCAAGGATCAAGGACAGTTCTTGGTAATTATATAATTCCTTTGATCCATGTGCTTGAGGTTCGTTTGGCCCCTACAGAGGGGTGGATGTTCCCCTGTAAACTTGTAAACCCGAGCTGCAAGTCCTGATCTGGAGAGAACTTACCAATAGGAACACGATTAGCATGTCATGTGCTCGAATCTAAGGAACTGTTGATTCCAAGCACTCAAGGGCCGAAGCACGAATCGGGCCAGAAATTTGGAGATACGCAGAAGCCAGAAATGGGCTCAACGGAGCAACAAAGCCAACCTTTATGATCCTGGACACCCTTGCCACCACGCAAACCAAGAAACGACTCAACTCATGCAACAGTAGAAGGGCCAAATGATGCGGCTGGTCGCCTCCAAGATATGATACAAGCTCTACATTCGAGCTTATTAGAGGCATTATAGGACATCAGCGTGCTTGCAACCGAGTTGCGGAACAGCGTGCCATAATATTTGTTGATTTCAATCGCATCTTCCAACTTTTCGGCGTGCGCAGGGTTATCGATCTGCAAACGACGGCTTCGGGTCGCATCGTCTTAGATACATAAATGTCATCCCGGCTTGGGGGGGCGGGTGCTAATAAAAACGCCCTCTTAAACAAGCTGCGATTGGCGGCTGTCAGGATTGCTGGTGCCTCTTCAGTCGTTCGGCACGCGACTTAGGAGTCGTCTGCTTTTGTTCGTAGAGCTTTCTGGGTGTTGTTCCGCAGGGATGCAGAGGTTGTCGGGTGTAAGGACTGGCTCAGGTTTCGCGATTCGATGTCAAGAGCTCATAAGGTTGAGAAGTCAATCCCTAGTTGAGAGCTGAGCATAGACTCAAAGGTCATAGAATACGTCATATGGTTTGCAGGCTCGGGGCCTTCCAGGCATCTCAGGTTGTGCAAGCACTGCTTTTTGGGGATGCGGAATCCGTGCTCACCTTTAGAGGGAGGTCAGTGCCGCAAGTTACCAGCCTCAAAACAACCAGACGTCCTAAATTTTTGTTGGGGGGCTACGCAGTAAGTGTCGATAGATGAGCTGCAACTGCAGGCCTAAGAGAAAAACGGGGAGCTTCAAACATGCGAGGAACCTGAATGTCATCGAAATGTGCTGCCACTGCCTCAGCTGCGATAGCTTCGCCTACCAGCACTTGGGCCTGTTTCCTTTCGAGGTTTCGAAAGTGTGAGGATTTAGGTTGACTTCATACACGGTCCTGGTTCTTGTGCCCTTGGGCGGGAAGGCGCCGGTAGTTTCCTCCCATCCTGAAGCCTGAGGGAAGGGTTTCGCAACTTCACGCCGCCTCGAGTCTTGCTAGACTCAGCATTCGTATGCTTTAGGGTTTAGGGTTAATATGTTCTTTATGTGTCTCAAACATAGACATCATGCCTCTTCTACGAAGCAGCGACTTCAGATAACCCGGCCCCACACCAACCCAGGGGCAAGGACCAAGGCGTTGACCTAGCCCCCGGGAACCCTTCGACGAATTGCTGAGCAGCAAGCCGTGCCAACAGAATAGGAGCTTCTGAAAAATTCGAGCCGTAAGACTTTAAGAAGGCAATACCCACCAGTCCGAACGCCACGGGAGATCCTCGTCCAAGCTTGCAGCCACAGTGCATTGTTGAACACCAAGCTGAAAACAAACACCTTCAGCACAAGGCAGATACGGTACATGCAAAGGTCCTGCCTTGATAGCTCCTATTGGGTCTTGGGGTGAGGTCTTGGGGTTTTAGGCGCATGGGCTTCGGGAGAGGCTCATAGGGATGCGGAGCAACTCCTACACTCCTAACCCCGAAAGCTTCGTGCCATCTACCACTAGTCACAGCAATCGTGAGAAGGATCTTCGGCATCCAGCGTTGGTTTCCGCACTCCGCAGGTTTGTCCGAGGAAGTTCCCGTTGCGCTGGCTTCAAGGCATCTGTGGATGCGGACCGCCTCATGAAGAGCCCGAGGTGCAATTAGGAAGACCACCTGAAGAGCCCAGAGGAGGTCTGCGAGGGAGTTGATCATGGCGAAGATCATCGTTCCTTGGGTGTGGGTAGCTTGGGGCATCTCTCTTCGAATCCTTTGGCTTGGAGCACGGCTGAGCATCTAATGATGAAGCTACCGGCCGCCTAGCCAAGCCCAGGAGGAACTGACGAACAAACGGCTCCTAGCTAACAGCTGCAAAGTACTTGCAAGAAGCTGCGTAGGGTACTTTCCATCGGACGGGGGCTTCGGCTCTAGGCTCAAAGACCCAAGTTGCTTCGTCGTTCAGTAGGTTTGGGGGGTGCTCTCTGGGCCCTTCGGCTCAAAACTCTCGGTGTTGCCAGACTACATACCGCATGCAGACCTGCATCAGCCCTGCCCTTCGGCCGAGGAGTCAGAAACCGAGGTTGCGGATTTAGGGTAATGCAAGGAGTAGGGCAGGATGAGGCAGGAGAACCGCCCAAACTCTTACAGTGGGGTGCATCCCCCCCTTCTTCTAGTGCTTCGGCTGGACTTGGCCAAGATACGCAGCTTTCTCAGAGCCTGAAGGGATGTAGACTTGTGAAGAGTTCCCGACTATTAGGCGCTGACATTGTTGGCGTTATAACAGTGATAGTTCTTCTCCTGCACGGATTGTATTGGTAAACGGATCTAGTGACAGGAGACGATCTGAAACGAGTCCGCTGCGTTCCCGTCTTCTTCCTGCAACTTGCATGATGGATCCACTGCTCTATCACGGCCCAAACGCGAGTTGCGCGATCTGGTTATTTTGACT